GGTACAGATATATATATATATATATATATATATATATATATATATATATATATATATATATATATATATATATATATATATATATATATTGTCCAACCCGACGCCCATGAATCCTTCAACTAATGAGAATAACAGCATTACAGTGGTTGCTCCTATTTCCAGAGTTAATTATGTTGTCTTGCCATACATCGAAGAACTAACACCAAAATTAATCAGGCTGTATAATTCCTTTAATTGTCGTTTTGCTTGTAAATCAGTGCTCACAGTCAACAGTTTGTTTTCCAAAATGAAGGATAGGGTCCAGTTGCTTGATTCAACCAACACTGTCTCTCGCATTAATTGCAACAACTCTAATTTGGTTTATATAGGCCAAACATCGAGATCATTGATGGTTTGTTCGTACAGTAGTCGGTAACTTCACGTCAAAATCAAAATCAGAGAGATGTTACCTGTTCGTACAGTTTCGGACTGTTTGCCGACAGCTAATCCGCTGTTCGTACAGAACCTTCTGATAGATCAGAGGACACCAGTCAACCAGTGACAGTGACAGGTATCAGAGTGTTCGAAAGTATCTTGAGGACAAAAATTGCTTCGCAAGAGGCATTTAAGGATCGATTACTCTTCTCTAATGGACGACCTGTGGACATCTTCGCACCGATGGGCCGTTGGCGATCTAGCTATGCCAACGGGCTTTGCTCCTCAGAGCTCTCTTTCATGGTGTCATGTGCCTGCCTGACTTCTGCCTCCCATCGTTAGCGTGTCGAACTTCGTACATCCAGAACTGGCCGATAAGACCACTCCTTTGTCCCGAGGGTGTCGAGATCGTATAACAATCTACATGATGAGCTTTTCTCAGTTCTACTAACTTTAGGTAGTTCAAAAATAGGAATAACAAAGTTTATTAAGCTCCTCAAAGTAGTCGCGATGCCCTGGAATGTAGGGTTTATCTGCGCGGCTTCTTCGGTGTAAAAAAAAACTGAGCGATATATCAAGAAGATGAAGACCTTGAAGATCTACTGAGGAGAGAATGAAACCCAAAAACCTAAAAACAGTGCCACAATTCAACAGAAACAAGTTTTTTTTACATTTTCGGGTGAGCAAGTGGCAGAAGAAATCTTAAAGTGCTTTGTGCTCAATATCTTGTTTATTGACGTAATGGTAAAATGAAGGTTATGAATACAGTATGAAAAATCCGAAGAATATAGGACATAACTTTTAAGAACCATAATTAGTATGATTTTTGTGATCACTAATCTTTTGAAATTTTTTGTTACAGTTGCAAAATGCGAAATTCCGCGATTTAAGTCTTACTTCTATGTATTTTCGTAGTCTCAGTTCTTTCTGTCCATGTTGGGAACTCTGCAAAACTTATAGCTATGTAACATAAACAGATCTTGATAACTGTAGTTATGTTCAGCCGTTTTAGCTTTTTAGAGTAGAACACCCCTTATTATTCAAAGACGTTGTTAAATACTTGTAGTATTTTCACTTCTTTCTCCTAGTGAGAGTCTGCATATACAGGGTGTTTCTAATTTGGCACTCACCATTGGGATATTAAAATAAATTGTACAATAACAGTGCCACGTTTTCTCCTCTACAAAAAGGCATAATCAGAATTTCTATATGACGGTTCGTCTCTTGTCCTCCAGCATCAACTTTATTATTTCTTAAGGACGCTATATTTCAGTTTTGGACAGATGAATAGGCTTTTTAATTTTGATTAAAAAAATGCATAATACGTCATACATTGACGTTGCCAAACTTTAGTTACTTCTATTTTTTCCTGACATTATTTGAGATAGGATTTCAAAATAAATTGCATATTGTCATTGTTACTTATACTCGTCTACAAGATGGCGGAGTCAAATTTGCAATTCGACATTTCTTCTTTCGACTTCCGTCATCAATTTTGTTTTTTCCTGACATTATTTGAGATAGGATTTCAAAATAAATTGCATATTGTCATTGTTACTTATACTCCTCTACAAGATGGCGGAGTCAAATTTGCAATTCGACATTTCTTCTTTCGACTTCCGTCATGAATTTTGTTTTTTCATGCAGACACTATATTGGAATTTTGTACATTTAAATGGACTTTTCAGCCCTACATTCAGTGATGTATTTCATTAGTTGACCATACATTTGTTGTTGGATGAAAGTTAAAAGGAACTAAAAAGATATGGTGAGACCTGAATACGAAATCAAAATTTTATTGATGGTAATAACAATAATAACCATAAATAAGCAGAGGCCTTCACCCTGTTGCTGTGCAAACAAATGAAATCTGATAATTTCTAGGCCTACCTAGGAACTTCTTGAATAACTAACATTTTGCAATGTCAATGTATGACATATACATTTTTGAAATCAGAATAAAAATTCTATTCATGTGTGTAAGAATCCAATATGGCGTCTATAAATTAAGTTGATGCTGGACGTCAAGAGACGAAACGTCATATTGAAATTCTAGTTGTGCCGTCTTGTAGAGGAGAAAATGTGGCAGAGTTGATGTGCAATTTATTTTGAAATCCCACCACAAATAAGGTGAGGAGAAAATTAAAACCGTTTTGGGAAATTTCGTTCGTTCAATTTCAAAACATTCTAAGTGACATTTTGCTGATTATCTGCACACGCAACTTTGCCCCTATTTAAGCGACTTCGTATCCCTTGAAGTTTCCGAGATCCCAATAGTGAGGGTCGAATTTAAAATACCCTATATAGGGAAAATATTATTTTCACCCCAGCAGAAACAGTCACTCCCTCTCCGTCGGTACCCGAGAAAAAAAGCTGTATCACAAAATCTCCAGAATTCGTTATTTTATTTATTTTTTCATTAGCTGTGGGTTGGACTTACGTAGCTAGAATATATAAATACTGTTTCTGCATACTCTTCGAGACTGGGCGACAAGGGAGTGATATCAGAATTGAATGGTTTACAGCAAATGAACCCCCAACTTTTCCAAAATTCTCTACTTCATTCTGAAAAACTTTACATTTCATTAGTACTTGATTTCGCACTTTGATAATTTACTGGACAATTATCTGCTGACTAATTTGACAGTCATTAAACAGTCAGAAGTTTATGTACGAACAGCGGATCAGTTGTACGTAATCGGTCTTACCTCCCTCACCCAACTCGTAACGTTCTCATGTTCGGAATCAATACAGTCAGCGACGTGTCAGTGACAGCTAACTGTGTAAACTAGGTCATGGCTTGTCGCCGCCTATCAGTTTGCTGATTGTCAGCAAACAGGCTGTACGAAAAAACAATGAAAGGCAGGATAACTTCACACAAAAGTGACGCCAGATTGCATCCAGAGAGATGTGCTTTGGCATCACATATTAACACCACAGGCCACTCTATGAATTATGGCAGGATTGAGGTTCTTGACAAAGAAAAGAAAAAAGACTCTCAAAACGTCTATTTTTAGAAATGTCGCACATTTTCATGACAGATCATTGCATGAATAAAAAGGCTGATGTTAAGCGCTTAGTGTCATTTATTTCTACCTGTTGAATTGCGAAAAGTTAGAACGGCTACATATCCCAGTTGATCTAACGCCGTCCCAAAATTAAAATACATTTCCAATTGCTTATCCTATTAATTGAAACATCTCACTCACAAGGTTTAATATAAATTCACACAACCCATCTTTTCACGTGTGTATCACTATCTCGTACACTCATATGAACTACACCTTTTTCCAGAACAAATTTAATTCAGCATTTTGGTAATTAGTATGAGGTTTTACCGAGCGTCCCTCGTATACTTCATACCCAAATTTGACAATGAGGTTTACACTTCCACATTCCGTCGCGTCAATCACATGTCATCTGTCGACGCATTATCTTTCCGTTCCGTCCACCTTCTCCACGTGAAGCGGATGTAGGGGGTTAGAAACTACATTCCGATTTTGTCCCCAAAATTGCTTCTCGTTAATTTACATAACGATGTTATCCGTCGTTATCAAAAAGCTCAATGTGTCCGTCCGTTTGGTTTTATATTTGTAACAAGTGCTCTCATCTCAGCGTTCGTTTTGAAACACCATTTGGCTGCAACCTCAACGACGAGTAAGTTGTTTGCCAATTTAAGACGTTCCTGTATTGGTTGCTAGCATCATAATTGTGTTTTTAGGTCCAGGCTCCATAGAGAATTGCCGAAAGCTTGATACTATCGTCAAAAGAGTTAACTAAAACCTAAAAAAGTTTGCCAATTTCCCAATTAACAATTAATTGTATTTTTTGCCCAACTGGTCGTTGGCAATGGCAATGACTACTGTATATATATATATATAATGGATGATTCAAATTGAGTTTCCGCATTACAAATAATTTTTTTTTTGAAACGCCACTGAATTTGTCAACGATAACGTGCCATTTCTAACGTCAAAGTGAAAACAAAACAGTCTTGGACCGAACAAAGTGTTAAAATTATCCAAGCCTATAATGAAAACGGCCGATCAAGGAAGAATACATTTCGAGCTTTACGTGAATTTTTTGGCGCACAAAATCGGCGAATTTGGTTAAAAAATTCGAACAAACTGGATCTGTCGCTAACATTAAAACCTAAAGGCAAGTTGCCAGGTCGCGTTATTTCACGTAACGGCGATATCAATTGGCCGCCGCGATCCTGTGATTTAACTCCCTTACATTATTTTCTTTGGGAGCTGAAACAGGAGGTCAGACGCGAAATTACCAACATGTGCCACAGCGTAGTCGAGAATTTCTCGAAACGGATTACGTCATTCACTTTATATCATCTTCCATGCATAATTGTAATGAACTACCCTGAAAGGACAAATACATATTTTTTATAATTTTCAATTTCTTCCTTTTTTTTAAATACTTTTAATGGGGAAACCCAATTTGAATCACCCTATATATATAGACATTTCCATGAATAAAATATGTTTGATATCAATGTAAAAAGTAGACAAAAATACGGAAAAACATGCATATTCCCTATTGGCATAATAGTCTTCATGTAAAAATTTACTTACACCAGTTCCTCTAATAACACCCTGTATTTTCCTTTTCTTCAAAGAAAGCAACTTGGACAAAGCAGCTACATGTTCCTTATTCAGACCTTTTTCTAACCTTTCGCAAAGTTGCTTGTGAGCAACTAAGATGTCCAACAGTAGACCAAGTCTTTCACATACGATATTTTGCTCCAGTGAAGCTTGCTGATTGCTTTTGGCTACCAATTTCGGAGTTTCTCTAGAAAAAAATCAATTCAGTGATTGTTATGTAAGCAGATGTCAAGTATTCACAATAGGTCCCAAGTTCTACCTTAAAGGAGGGGGCACAAGCCTTACGGAAATCAGTCCCCGGTAAATCTTGCTCGAACTTTGAGAATAAGCTCTCCAGAGCATCCTAAAAGTTCTCATGGGCTCTTGACAATCCTATGAAGCGTTTACATGATATACAGAACCTCCCAAATAAGAATGGAGTATTTTGCTCCTAAAGGAAAACTGACCAAAGAATCCTTATCGTGACACACTGTGTTGAACAAGGATTTGCCAACATAACTTTTGACACCAACTGGACAAACCTCAGATAATTCATTGCTGTTGTCAACAAAAGGCTATGCACATAGTTCATCAACTTCATTTCTTGACAACAACCTGCATAAAAAAGCAAGATGTAGAGATCAAAGTCTGAAGGCAAGGCTGAAGACGAGCTAAAACACGGATGCGACTTTTTTTTAACCAAACTGGGGAAAATGGGAACTTCTATGGAAAATGTTTGATCCAATGTTTTGTGTGACAATAGCGCAGGTTTTTGGCCTAGCATACATCGACTAACTCAATTTAAAAGCTTCAAAGAGGCATTGTGTCCCAGCTTGAAAAAAGTAACCACTTCATCTAAACTGTACTACCAACTATACATATTTGTGGAATTATATACAACGGATCTGAAAGAAAAAGTTACCTTGCTAGCAAAGCCTTTTCTGTTCTTTGCCTCCACGCGTGCGCTTACGCCGTTTTGATAATTCAGCACGACCTTTAGGCATTTTTTAACAACAAAGGTATAACAAACGTCTTAGCAACAACAAATCGTACACGACCGATACACTTCCAACAGTAGCGAACAGAATGAATATGCTGAAACGAACGGCGAAGAGATACGCATAGTCACCTCGTATTACGGCCAATCATCCGCCGCGGTGGGCGTGGCCAGCGGGAGGCGGGTTTCTTTCAAAATTTTCATCAAAATATAGCTCGAAAACCGTGTGAGCGAAAAAGTTGTTTTTTTTCAGCAATGGTTTGTACTGCTCTTTTTCTAGGTCTTGAGTAAGTTTCTTTTTTAAAACTCAGTTTGCTTTTTCTAAAAAACAAAAGTTTTTTTGAGAAAAAAAATGTCACGAAAAATAGTAATATCTCAAGGTAATCTACTTTACATGTGGAATATTGTCATTCAATTTTAGAGCTACACTGTTATTCGCTCAAAAACTACAATTGCAGGAAAAATGGACACAAAAATGCATTTTTTTGATGAAAAAAATACTAATATTGCTTATCAATCATCTCTTTATACAGCATGAAGATATCAGACGAGAATAATTGAAAATACTCCTTCAAATAGGCTGTCGAATAAAAGGGACCGATGGCCTTAATGGGTTATTATATTGTGTTCGATGGCACATATCTAAAATACTCTGTGGAATGTCATTTCCGTAATCAAAAAAGGAGTGTCTCATTGAAAAGTGACTTGACCTTGAAATAACCTTGAAGGTTATGGTCGTGGTCAAATCTGCGAAATTCTAACTACCCATGTTTTCTTTTTATCAATATATTAACCCACATGCTTACACTATGCAAACTGCCAAAACAGAAGATATGCAGGTTGTCAAACTTTGGTGTTATTTTAGATAAAATACCCAATAGCCCAATAACTAATAATTGAAACCATAAGTAGGTTCTGGGTGTGTAATAAAAAGTACGGCCTTCCATTTAAAAAAACATGTATTTGATGTGGGGCAAAACTGAGACACCCTTTATAATTGTGAGAATTTTAGAAATGTGCCCTCGGATTCCGTGTACTATAATAACCCATAAATACTTTTCTTTGTTTGTAAGTTTTTATTTAGGAACAATGCTCCATTCTTGAGTAACATTGAACGGGGACTGACTTCCGTAAGGTTTTTGCCCCCTCCTTTGTCTTATAACACTTCACGTCTTTGTGACGATCATAATATGACCGAATATCCGAATTTGACAAAGGGTCACATCAACAAAACGGGAAACAGGATGGTGAACTTATAGAGTGGGGTGGAGTGGAGTGGAGTGGAAGTATCGAGAATAAAGCCCACTGCGTTAGAAATGTATTTCAGGTTCTGCGCACGTGGCATCTCTCTCATGTCTGCAACACACCCTTTTTTCCACGTGCACAGAAGCTCTACGCGTACTACATTTCTGAGAACCACGCCCTCCTTACGGACCATATTGGATTCATACGAATACGTGTCTTGCTTTAGGCAGTACACCCTCCTCCTTGGGTCACAGTTAAATAATGGTTCCTTGCGGATTGAGTGCCGTTTGGGAAATAGTCCCTCAATGGAATTCAAACAAACAATTCCGCTTCCTTGAACATTCTCCAAGGAAGCATTTTACATTTGCATTCACAGTAGGCTGTAACAGAAGAGTTTTATTTGCTGGCCGTGTTTTTTGTACCGAATTTAAGTAATGCAAAATAGTAACCAATGCTTTTTCCATTGGTGAATTCGGGATCCCGAGCAATCCATTTGTACATCAAATCCGTGACTAAAGTTTTCGACACTCATATTCATATTCACCATCCCAATCTACCTATATGTACCGAGTTGTTTCAACTTGGATGAAAACCCTAAATTAAAATAAAAATGTTGAGGTTTCCCATGAAGAAATAGTCAAAAACAACTACATTATTAACATTAACAAGTACATTATTTTAAAATGCATACAACCCGACTGCACTACGTAAATAGAATTAAATCTTAGGTGTGCTATCAAATGTAAAAGCCCATCAAGCCATTTGAGTTATAGCCAGTGAAATAGAATCGTTCTTGTGCACGTACATATACTAAGTGACATATAAATCCGAACACCCAGTTTAAATGGTTTTAATTTAATAAAATTTTGTATAAGTACTTAATGAAGCATAATAAGTACTTAATGAAGCATAATAAGTAAATGATAAAAATTTCAAAATGATTGCACTGCGTTAAAGCCCTTTGACCTTTAATAATGTGTGGATGCACCCTGATGTGCTACGCATTCTCCAACGTGCCTAGGCATGCTTCTGATCAGGTGGTCAATGTCCTCCTGTGGTATCTCATTCCAGGCAACCACCAACTTCTCTCGAAGTGCTTCTAGAGTCTGAGGAGGACGTTGCAAATTGAGCAATCTCCTACCCATCATATCCCACACGTGCTCAATTGGTGATAAGTCGGGAGATCTTGGTGGCCATGGTAACAATGTGACATCATTATGTTGAAAGAAGTCTATTGTGACTCTTGCAACATGTGGTCGGGCATTATCTTGTTGGAAAGTTGGATCTGCCAGGGTGTCAAGATAGGGTAAAAGATGGGGTTCTAGAACTTCGTGGATATAACGCTGCGCGTTCATGTTTCCTCTGACGAAGATTAAAGGTGACCTGGAACCATAAGCTATAGCACCCCAAACCAAAACTCCGACAGTGTGATGAACATGTCTTTCAACAAAAAACTGTGGATTCCTCCTTTCACCACGTCGCCTTCTAACCCTGGCACGACTATCGTGCATGCCTAAACAAAATAGAGACTCGTCACTAAAGACAATACTGTTCCATTCCTGATCCCAGAGTGACCGTTGTCTGCACCACTCAAGGCGATTACGTCGGTGTTCTCGAGTTAAAGGGAGGACCCAGTGTGGCCGGTATGAAAACAAGCCAAAACTTCTCATTCGTCGGTAAATACTTCGCCTGCCAATAGGTCTTCCGTGTTCTGCAAACCATTCATTTGCAATGGACCTGGTAGTGGAGAAACGGTCCCTTAAGGCCAATAATCTTAGGCGGCGATCTTCACGGTCTGTTGTTCTCGAAGCCGTGCCTTACAACACCTAACCACAGTGTCTACACTTCTTTGCACTCTAACTGCAATTGCCCGAAAAGAAAGTCCAGCTTCCCGAAGTCCCACTATACGGCCCCTATCAAACTCATTAAGTTGACGAAATCGTACAGGTCTCCGTACTCTAGGCATCGTAACCGATCGTAAAGGATGTCAAGAAAATCCGCCAACGTTGATCCTTTACTGCGGCTGAAATATTCATTTTTAGAGCGTTAGTGAATTAAAAAAAAAGAGGTATAAAAACCGGAATGTCCAACTGATAAGGATGAAAATTTTTTCACTTGTTATTTACAGTAAGATAAATACATTCACCAACTTTTATTAAAATAAAACCATTTAAACTGGGTGTTCGAATTTATATGTCACTTAGTATACACAACCACGGGAGTTATATGTCCAAACCGGACGTGTATATCACATATCAGCACAATGAACGGAGCTTGTAAGAATCACTAGTCTCTAAAATAAACTTTTTTTAAAAAGTAATTTTCCGGTTTCGGGAATTTAACTGGCGCTGCGAATAGGAGAACTACACGGTAACCCTAAGGCTCATCGACACGTGTTAACGACTTGGCTACCACAGTGAGACCAAAGAATACCACAGACTTGAGAAAAATAGAAGACCGGCGGAATATGGAAAGCATCTTGGTTCGTCTTATCCTGTAAGTCCTTTCCATATCCTTCCTATGAGTTCTGAGTATCCACGAGATTCGTTGCAAGCAGTTATTTTAACTAATAGTCGTAAAAATTCAAAAGGACAGTCTCGTTTCAAACCGTACACTGTTGCAAATCTCGAAAATATTTTCTCTGAACAATCAAATAGCTCTAGTCTGACCCTAGAAAGTATTCCTGAAAATCCAACCATGGTTCTATCAAATTCAGATATTAATAACTTGCGCAATACTTTGTTAGAATACAATGGTGGTGAAAATCTTTCTACTTTTGTAAATTCTGTAGACAATTCAGTCAGAAATATATTATTAATGCTAATATACTGTCTAAGGTTGAGGGCGAGGTTCGTGATTTTTTGAACCTCCATAATAAAACAACCTGGACTCAAATTAACTCACTGTTACTCCAAAAGTATGGCGACCATCGCACCGAAGAAATTTTGTTGACTGAGCTTACTACT